CCAGATAAAACCTTGAAAAGTGAAGAAGATGAAAGGGTTAACTCTCCGGCAGATTAAGGTTAGATAAAAAGCCCATATCAGGGAAATGTTTTCCTCAATCATCTGATCGACTGTTGGAGGAATCTTTATCAATACTTTTCTTATTGGAAGATAAAAACATCCATCTGTGATTAAAAGAAAAACTTTAAAAAATGTGTTCAATAGATATAGAGATACTTTATTAATCCTCAATAGCGGAAATTCTCCTGCCATTAGCTTAAAATGTCAAAGATGTTCCTACTCTGTGCGGTGGTCACATGGACAGAGCTGCCTTATGGTTCCAGCTTCTTCAGACACTAAGAACCTGTAAAGAAATAATTTCCATTACATTCCTATTATTGTCCAAATTAAAGTTTAAATTAATAGATTCAAGAAGTACACCTGAAAACACGGAGTGTCAGAGGCGGGCAGGCTCCACTTCTTTCACCTGAACCTTTTTCTAGCTGTGACCAATCATTCGGGGTCTTGTCCGGGATATTGCTGTTAATGTTGGAACTTCTGTTTGTCTCATTTAGGTTGAATCGGTATAGCTTGAATAGAACCAGCAGGTCAGTCTGGACATCATACTGTTTGTTTGTGTATCCAGGTGGAGATGGACTCCCTACGGGCAGAAAACGAGCGTCTGAAGGCTGCAGAATCTCAGGTTGTCATGACGATGAGACAAAATGCTCAGATGGCATCGGATTACCTAAATAAGTCAGCAAGCCACGCCCACTCCTCCATCAGGTCAGTAACTGCAGAGACATGCGTGAACTGGGTCGTTCCATCCAGATGTTTTACCAGGGCCTGCTGTTTGCCTCCATGTTGGTTTGTTTACTGGTTAGTCTGGTTGGAGGCCAGAGGTTCAGTCAGAGGATCTGATCATGTGACTGTGACGGGGTTCTTGGTTCTCCAAGAATCCAGTCTCAGTCGGGTAACCAGTGTTGGTAGTTTATTGTGCTCATCAATTCAAAGGAGGGTTTCAGCCAAACTATATAAATGTACAAAGTCCTCTGGGCCTCAGCCTCTAGTTACTCTAGCAATGTAACAAAGAAACAGAAAAACAAAATGGCCGCTCTTCTTACCACAGCCCTCAATAAATAGATGAAGCCCCTCCCCTCAGGCTCCATTATTCCTGATTTCCTCACATAACTCTGGCGTTTTAAGCGCTGACTGAGCGTTTCCTCGGGTTTGAACCCAGCAATGACGCCAACAGACTGAAGACGGTAAGTCACCATGGCGTACACACCCGTGCACCCTCAATACACCAGCAGGCAACCAGGGAGAGCTTATGTGTGTTTAGTTAATGAACCGCGACTGTAGGGCTTAGCGCCAGCGTGTCGGTCCTCGCAAGCATAGTATTACTGGAAGGTGTGTGGGGCAGTCAAAGTTAGCAGGTGATTTTCAGTGAGGAGGCAGATTCAGCGCCGTAACCATGGAGCAGACATGGGCAATGTGGAGTCAACAAGTCATCTCCATGTCATGTATTTAATCTACCCAGCCAATTAACCAGGTGAGTCCAATCTGCACAGGTTAATTCATGGTGAAGATTGGACTCACCTGCTTCAGTGGCAGTGGTAGAACAAAAACATGACATGGAGATGACTTGTTGACTCCACATTGCCCATGTCTGCCATGGAGCAGTCCTTTCTGGTGAAACTTGAGCCGAGGTACAGCAGCTCTGAGCATTGAAGTCATTTTCTCAATGGACAGGTTTTAGTTGTAGTTTCTTCTGCCTCCACCAGGTGGAGCCAAACCTCAGCTGAGCGCTGTGTCTGTTCTCACCCTCAGGCAGCTGCTGCAGGAAGCAGACACTTTCCGTTTGGTCTCTCAGCTCCTGAAGTCCATCGATAAGATCTCCACGGAAACCTAAAATCCTGCACTTCAGGATGCGGTCGCCATGGAAACGAAAAGACAGGACGATGGTAGCCCTGGGCATCTTCTTCACTTTGGACTCATTTTTACTTTGAGATGAAGAAAAATACCGAAACTTTTACTGTTGGGTTGATTTCTGTCACCTGATAAAATCCTCTAGTTCCCAAAAACCTCTTCAACATTTTATTTTGGTTTTACTGCAGAATAAATACTGAATTTATTGTTAAAAAGGTATGATCTAAAGCTGCCTGATCAATAAAGGTTTCTACTACTTTTCATCAACAGCTTTAATAAAAACGCAGAAAATGTTGTAGAAGGAGGAGGAAGTGGAGAAAAAAACAGAAAAGCCCTCAGCCAATCAGGGGGCGGAACCTGGACCCTGGTACCTGCCCGGTTCTGAGCGGTCCCTGGTACCGGTCCACACAGAACCGGACAGGTACCAGGGATCCTGAAACACTTTGCAGGATTTCACGTTTCTGTGGAGATCTGTCAGGAGAGCAAAGCCCTCCGGAGGCTGATGGACGTCCGTCCTTCCAGGTTCTTCTGTTGGACTGTGGATTAGAAGAAGCCATCAGAACTAAACCAGGGAGCGCTCCGAACCGGGCCGGTAAGGAAGAAGGGAAAAGCTCCGAGTTCTGGGCCTCCGATAGTTTTAGATCCGCTGAGCTTTACTGAGGGGCTGGTTAGATGTTCAACCACCTGGATCCACCTCAGACTGAGACAGAATGCATTCAGAACCAGGTTGGAAGGGAGGGATCGGACCTCGGTGGCGCTGCGGCGGGTGTTATCATGGTGGATGATGATGCCTCTGTGGATGAAGGTGGACCTAAGGTCCCTCATGCTTCTAAAGAATTGCAGCTTTGTTCTCATTGAGCTTTAGCTGTGCGTCTCGGCCAGGTGGAAACATCCAGAGTCCAACAGAAGAACCTGTGAGGACGGACGTCTATCAGCAGGACGGACGTCTATCAGCAGGACGGACGTCTATCAGCAGGACGGACGTCTATCAGCCCCCCGATGGCCTTGCTCTCCTCAC